AGTGGCTCCCCATGCACAAATGCAGCATTTTTCAGAAACTATTTCATTCTCATCATCTTCAGCTGTGACAAACATGGCAAGATACTTGGGAAGTGGGGATCAAAAGTAAAATGAAGAATATTATTAATATAGCATTAATAATAGTAATTTAATGCAGTGAAATGATTCCAATGCAAAGCAAGGCAGTTTTTTTTTTCTCCCAGAAACAACAGCATGTGCGAAATTTGTTTCATAAATATCAGATTTTTTTTTGTAAATGTATATGTATTCCCACTCATTAATTTATAAATCTAATAATATATGGTGTCTAATATGAAATTTTCAAAAACCTTCAGACGGTAATGCTATTAATTAATACGTATCTTTTGGTAATAAAATATGTGTTTCAAAACAATCTCTCATTTGAAGAGCTTTGGAACAGCCTTTCCCTTGCTTCACTTGCCTGTTTTTCCAGTTTATCATAAAATATCAGAAAATTCAATATCCAAAAGGAAATACTGAGCTCGAAAAGTTACCATGGAATTGATTTTGGTGCTCCTTGACATCCTCCATTACTTATATTCACTACCCAGAGTCCAGAGAAAACTACTCAGGATTCTGCGTACCCGTACAACAACCAAAATCAATCAGGTTCTAAATTGATAAAACTGGTAGAACACTTCAACAATAAAATAAAAGAAGATAAGAGAACAGTGAATCATAATCAAACTTATAATAATAAGAAAAGATCCATGCAGCAGCAAGAGAAACAAATTCTGATAAAGAAAATACACCATTTGGCCCATGACTCAAATCATAGACAAACATCCAACATTGAAATCAAATAATAATAATAACAAATCCAAACTCAAGCAACCAAAGTCCGGATAATTTCACAATGAAAAAGCAAGACCGAAATCAAGGCAGAAGCAATTAATCAAAGATTATGCGAAAACCTGATTGGCAGGAAAAAAGATTAGGCTTCCCGCAAGTCAAAGAGCGCTTTGAGGAGTGCAGCGAAAACCATAGTTTCCGATAGAGGTGTATGTAATAAAAAGAGTTAATTGTAAACAAGGTCTCCAAATTATAACACTCATTCTACTTTGCTTACTAAATTTTGAAATATTATATTCATCTATAATTGTCATTCCAAGTGGATCTCAATCAAATGATGAATTGTATCACTATCTAACTAGGAGATATATTTTTTGAGCACAAATCAAGTGACCTCGTTGGTAAAGTAAATATTATTATTTCTTAAGGTCCCGGGTTCTAGTACTAGAAATGCCAAGGGTGTGAACGTTCAATGTTAGTTAAATAATTGAAAATTATTTTTGAACATGCGCTATCTTATACTTAATTTAAGAGTCGAACCCAATAGCATCAATAGTCATATTCACCTCAAGACTATTTCATCTATCAAATATATTTGTTTAATATATTGAGAAATATAAACTTCAGACTAACCTTGAACTATGAATATTATTAGATGAGTTGCCTATGATCATGCTTTAGCAATAACAATAACAATGTCAGTCAGAATAAGATACACAGCTGAATAACAATGTAAATTACAATAAAATCAATATTAGTGTGACAGTAATCTTTTGACATGTAAGTACAAGAATCTCAGACAACACTGATAATAGTGCAATACCATATGAATATAGTCAATTCTCCGACTCGATCGAGACACAAGTCTGATAATCATTAATATCTCTCCAACTCTATCAAGACTGAAGTTTATATGACACTTGTATAAGCATTATGAACTATATGGTATACCAACTTTATCCGAGGCTCAACAAGATAACCATGCATGATAAATAGTCATAATGTAATCACTTACCATGTTATCAACATTCGTGTCATTTCAGTAACATATCATAGCATAATCCATCGGCCCTTCGAATGATTTACCATCCATTAAATAATGGTTTACAATCACAATATGCACAATGCATAATATAAATGATAAATCGTAAAAACTTATTAAAACTCCTTTAATAATCATTTATCCTAGAAAAAAAAGATATTTTAATACTTTTCTGACGACCCAAACACCAATCAGTTCAATTTTTTGTTTAAATCGGCTCATTTTCTTTTTCAATTTCATGTTTTTTTTCATTAAAGGTTAGAACTTTAAAGGTTGAATGTAAGCGAAGATTGGAATACGACAATCCCAAAAGACATATTCCCATCAAATATAAGTCCAAGTATTTCATTATTTTTTGGTGGGGCTAAGCTTGTCTTTGCCTTTTTTGAAAAATTAAATTTTACCTACACCTCTATTATTAACCTAATCAAATTGTCTTACCCTAAAATAATAATGAATCAAGGGTGGGTTTGGTTTTATCTTTGGAATAGGATTTGATAGGGATGAAAAATTATAATGCTTTATTAGGATATAGGTTAAAAGTTCGAATCTTGATTTTTGTATCCTAAAATAATGTTTTAAAAATAAATTTTAGCCCTAAAATATCAGGATTTATTAAATAGTATTTTGAAAATAATTTTACATAACTAACAACCAATTGGTCTACCGAAAGAAATATTAAATCTTTTAAGTAAAGTTAAAAATTAGAATCCTGATATTTTAAATGAAATAAATTGAGTTAAAAAGATCATCATCATAATAAGCCTCATTAGTATGTATCTGAATTAGTGGACCAATAAATTTGATATCAATGATTAAACAAAAACAAATAAATTCACATAAATAAATTTATTGAAATAATTTTTAGTTATTTAAATTATTCTAAAAGGTAGATGATGATTAAAAAATAAATTCAGATAAATAAATATCTTGAAATATTTTTTAGTTATTAAAAGTTATTTAAATTGTTCTAAAAAGTAGACGGAGATTAAACTTTTAAACAAATGTAAATTTTTTTTAGTTACTATAAAATCAAAAATAAAATAATCATATAAGTTTAAATTTTAATTTATTTATTATCAATCTAAATTTGAGTAAAGGTGAGTCATTTATGACTATTTTATTATTATAAGTTTACAACTCAAAATTTTGCATAAAAATAAAATTCAAATCATATTAATATTTCTAAATTAAAATTATATTATAAGTTAAATAGTTAAATCTGTTTTGTTATTATAGGTTAAACATATTGATAATCTGGTTCGTTCACTACTTTTCTATCACTTCATAAAACGTCTCACTTGACAATTGTTGGTGTTCGAATCTATAACCTCGAAGAACAACAATTCATTTCACCATTAAGATAAATTGATTCATGTGACTATCGACTATAATTGAGTACATTATAAACTTGTAATTCTATTTCTTTCATTTATTTTTGTTATCGAAGTCCAATTGTCATTGCTTAAAAAAGTAATATTAAATTGATCATTAATATATTATTTAAATATAAAATTAATATAAAATAAAAATACTTAATAAATCTATATTCAAAATAATTAATTTTGTAATTAAAAATATACAATAAAAATTAATACTAAAAATGTATTATTTTAAAGATAATATTATTTAACTTACTTCAAATGGATAAATATTTTATATTTTCCTTCTACACGAGTGAAGAAATCACTTCATTGTAAATAATTTAATATCTTTTATTACACCGTTTTCTTTTTCAATTTAATAACAGAAATGAGCTAAGCCTATAATAATTATTAATATTTAAGAGAGAGAATATTGGAAGACTCGAAGAGTCTCCGCTTTTGTGGACCACCACCAGTCGGAGAAGGAGGAGGTGAGAGTGGCGAGTGGGACCCACACTCGTTCATCGGGATTCACCACGGATGGGGAAATGGTCTTTAAAGTCACAATGGCGGGTCCACATTTATAGCCTAATCCCTCGCCCCGCCCCCGCTCTTTTTTTAACCGTCTGATCTAAAGAATATATAACGCCAACTTCAGCCTTCTCACTCTCACTTCGCTCCCAAAAAAAAAAAAAAATTGTTTGGCCTCGTTTTATTTTCCACCACTGGATTGCTTCTTCTTTGTTGGATTAATATTTTAAAAAGATCTGATATTTTGTTGAAGAAGAAACAGATTTGGTGGTTGTTTTGCTTATTTGTTCTCAATCTGAGGTAATTCTTTGCTTTGCTTAGAATCTACGTTTGAGTTTTAAGCTTTATTTTTTCTGTGTTCGGGATTTTCGCCGACTTTATTCTAATTCTGCAATCGGTATCTTTTTATAGATCGGCGAGCTTTTCAAGATTTACGTCGCTTTCTTCAACCTGCATTGGTTTCGTTTCTACCTGGTAATGAATGGTTCTCTCTCTCTCTCTCTCTCTAACACACACACACTGTTTCTCTTTGATTAACTTCGCTTTTATGTTTTCGTTTTCCTTTTTTTCTCGTTAGTCAAGTGCTGTGTTTGGTTGCTGGGAAACAAGAAGGAAATAAAAATAAAGGACTGCAAAGTAAAGAAATAGTTCTTTTTTTTAATTTATTTTGTTTCAATTGAAATTTGTAAACGATAATCGCTTTTATCTCAACATAGGAAAAATGCGAACTTTTTTTTACTATTGCATTTTCCGTGAATTTCTGAAATTCTCAAGAGAGGCTGTATTTAGTCATTCTTCATTAGGATTCTTTATGGATCTGTGAGGTTCTTTTGTTTTGGACTTCAATCAAATGAAGCTGATTGTATTTGATCATGGGGAATGAATTTTTCATCAGAGCTTTATGATGTCCCTTGATTTAGATGCAGAAATCAAAGCGTTGTTAAAAATTTAGAATCTTTCTTGTTTCTTTTCTATGGAGTGTAGTTGATTTGATTACTAGACCTAGAGATGGACTGACCTGGAACATAAAATTTTAGATATTCTAAATATTTTCTATTGATAATTTGTTTTCGTCTCTCCTAAAATTTTAGATGTTGACCCCCCGAACATAAAATCATGTGTCCATTAGAGATGGACATGGATTGAATGGGAAGAAAAAACTAGAACTTTGAAACTTTTACAATGGTAAATGATTGTTATACTAGTGTTTTGTTGGAAATCACCCAAGTCATTTTTATTGACCGGTTGCTTAATGTTACTTTAGCTCTCTTTGGGTGTAAATTTAATTTTTATGCCTTCGCTCTTTTGATTTTGTGTTGATGTTTTTCCAGAGGGAAATGGACTTAGATTTGGGTAAATAAAAATGACGAGCTTGGATTTGTTTGACCCTGGATGATACGGGTAAATTTTTTACTGCATTTGTTGGCCACTGATGATTAGAACAAGTTTTTGAGAGGAAACGTGGCATGTTTTGATAATGTGACTTTTAAAAATAGCAATAATTTAGTACATTATGTCATATATACATATTCATCCATAAGTTCAATCAAACTGGTGAAAAGCTGATGTGAGAAACTATACTTTGGGGTTTTGCAGCTAAGATGGATTGGTAAAGCAAAAGAAAGCATTGACATCCGATACAAGAAAAGCTGATGAATAATTAGAAAGTTTGAGGGACATGGGATTAGGTTCAAAGTCAGAAAGGAGTTCAAACTCACAACAAAGTTCAAGGACTGGGAAGGAGAAAGCCCACTTGCCACATGCAGACCTGATGTTAAAGAATCAAGGCAAGTTAAATGGAAAAAATGGTATTACTTTTCCGTATGGTATTCTGCCGGGTGAAATTATGAACAATCGGATTCAAAGCACCTTGGTTGAAACAAAACCTTTTGGGGATTGCAAGGGCCAGCCTCTCAAGAGCAAGCCAACAAAAGAAGAGCTTGTTAGGTACATGTCAAACTTGCCGGGTTACCTACGGCGGGTAGACAGTTCAGATAACCTTCAAGAGAATGCATTGAATGTCGGAGTTCTGGATTGGGCACGTCTAGAAAAATGGAAGTACCACCAAAAGCATAACCCTACAACTACTGGAAATGATGAACCGTCCACAACCACCACCATTTTACCATCGAAAATCAATACCAAGTCTTCTGCCTTTTCTAATGTTGTTCCCAAGGTTGCCTCTGCCAATAAAGTTAAGCAACACTCTTCAACTTGTTCGAGTCTTACCACATCTCAAAAGGATGACATTCCTCGAGGTGCAGAACCATATATTCCAAAGGTTAGGCACCATCAAGATACTGAAACTGCTTCCAAGAGCACCTTGGATCGGCAGAAGAAGACATCCAAGACATATAAATCCTTTGACAAAATTAATTCAGATGCAATTCTTGAGAAGGGGAAGAGAAAAGAATTAGATCAGAAAATCACTCCAAAAGTGGGTAATATACCGTCAAACATGAGAAATCATGGAGTCTCACCTCTGCCAAAGGAAACTGCAAGTGTTTGTGATGGTGGAGCAAAAAACAGAGTAGAGCAAAGGAGGGGAACTGATGTAAATAAGAAGGATTTGGATGATAAAACTACTTCAGATATGGAGGCTTCTTCATCCAAATCAAGAAACCATGAAGTTTCACTGGGTTCCAGCAAAATGCTCGGTGCTGAAAGCAACAAAACTAAGAACAAATATACTGAGGAATACGAACATGATCTTAATCATGAATGTTCTCCTGGTGGGCACAAGAACATTGCTCTTCTTCCAACTTCTTCCCGAAACAACTTTCTTGAAGAACCTCGAGATGGGACTTTGAATGAAGCAAAACATAATAGCTCTTCCTATGACCTGCTTCGGAAGGATCATTTTCGGGAATTATATTCTGATGTTCCTCATTCTTGTACATTTCCTTCTAGAGTTGAGATGAATCCTGAAACTGACAAGATGGAACGGAGTCTGGATCTTTCATCTGATGCATCTAGTGGGCCTTTGTTCTCAGATAACACAGGAAATGTAAGGTCTCGGGGCAAGTATTCAGCAGAAAACAATTCAAAGTCTCAAGATACTGATTTTGAAACTTTGAAGATACTGGAAGAAGAAATGGCTGAGCTGGCAACTGAAAGAAGCAGAACTAGTTCACCAAATCACCACTTTAGTTTCAGCTTGAGTCGTATTAGTAGAAGTTTCAGTTTTAAGGAAAGTTCTGCAGTCCCACAATTGAGATCTGATTATGTTTCCGTGAGGTCCGGTCCAGTGAGGTCTGATTCCTCTGGATTTCTGGATGATGCACACATAGAGCAGCTGATTGGCCGTCATAGAACTAAATCCAGCCCCTTTAGAAGGGTGCTGGATCCGCTACTGAAGTCTAAGGGCTTAAATTCCTTTCGATCCACCGACACTGTTCAGCCATTGAAAGGAAGCTTGAACTCCTCTTCTCCACGGCCACTTGATGCAAATGAATCCTTTCAGGAAGAAAAGTTGGGGTCATCAATGATTAAAGCTCTTCTCGAGGTTGCAATGAAGAATGGACACCCACTGTTCAGATTTGTCGTCACCAATGGCAGCAATATGCTTGCAACTACCGTGAAAAGTCTAGCATCATCTGAGAAGGTGGGATCTGATCAGAATTACGTTTTCTCTTTGGTTAGTGAAATTAAGAAAAAGAGTGGCAGCTGGATAAGCAAAGGAAACAAGGAAAAAAATTGTGATTACATCTATAATATCATTGGACAAATGAAGATTTCCGATACTCATATTTCAGATTTGACTGCAGAAGACTCTTGCTATTATCATCTGGAAAGAGAATCTGTTCTGTTCAGTGTAGAGCAAAGACAAACAGATCAAGCATTGGCAAAGTTTACACCAGGTACCGAGCTTGCTGCTGTTGTCATAAAAATACCCGGTGAAAGCAATGCACAGCAAGCTGATAAAGATATAGTGAAGACTTGCTCTACAGAATCTTTGGCTACAGATGGATGCCCGTGCAACTTTATGGAAGGTTCCAGCTTCAAAAGTATTACTGTCATACTTTCCGGTGGAGTCCACAGCATGCCAAACAAAGGAATACCTTCCCCATTGATCGATCGATGGAGATTTGGTGGATTATGCGACTGTGGAGGTTGGGATGTTGGTTGCAAATTAAATATTCTCTCCAACCAAAACAGCAGATGCTGTAAGAATTCAGGGGCGCATCAAGCATGCTCTGACCGTCTTGAACTTTATCGTCAGGTATCCTCTTTTCTATTGTATTCTTAGTTCTCCATTTTGTTAAAATGTCGTCCAGATATCTAAGTTCTTGTTTTGTACTTGATGTAGGGAGAAGCACAGCAGAACATGCCTAACTTCAGCTTGGTTCCACACAAAAAAGGAATCTATGCAATTAAGTTCAGTTCATCAATCACTGCATTGCAAGCGTTCTTTATCTCCGTAACAGTTATAAGTTGTTGGAAATCCTCTGAATTTCCAGAATTCAGTAACCTGGCCAATGGAAAAGTTATAAAGGAAACAATGTTGGATGGCAGACTTGGGATGGACACCAAACCAACCATTGTCGTCGGAGCCATGCCTGCAAAATATGCTCCGAACCCACCTCATTCACCCTTTGGGAGGGTATAGTTAATAGTTTCGCACACAACAATATTCAGGTACAGTTATAAGAAGTCTCGAAGAGTGCTAAACCTCGAGGTTAATCTTCATACATACAAGGAATTGGATTTGGGGTATAGGCTTGTTCAACATGGTTAATCGTCAAGATTTTGTAAGAGTTGCACAATACAAATAGAGATCACTTGTATAAAAGGAAATAATAATGGTAAATACCATTCCCTGTTTTAATCAAGTGTCTTTACTTATTAAAATCAAGAACATGGTATAATATGTTAGCATAAACTTTGTAGTAATATGCCCTTAAAATATTCATAAAATGCCATAAAACTTTGTTAACAAGCTGAATCAAACTGAGAACAATGTGTTAAGGAATGATATGATTTAATAGAACATCCAATCATATTGATGGGAGCAAACCAGACTCCGAAAAGGAATAAAAACCGAAAAGAATATACATAAGCATGCTGATATAGTGAACTATGCTTTCAAATGTCAGCTTGGGAAGCATGGTGAATGCATATGTACCATTGGCCGTTGATCCTTTCAAACACGTTTGTTACGAACTGCGCTCCCCAATTGTTACCTTTTGTCGTCTTGACGAATTCCATGCATGTAACATACCCGGAATCTCCTTTAACATGAACCCGGACATTTTTCAGTTCTATCTCTAGGGGAAATTCATAGTTCATCCACACAATCTCCCAGCTTTCCATTACGAAATCATAACCGGATATCCCATTTGCAGCTGGGTGCACACAACAAACATCATCTCCTTTCGCCCAAAGGTTCTGCATCGTGGCTAAATCCCCTCTCCTAAAAGCATCGTAAAACCGAGAATTTGCTGCCAGTACTGAAGCCTTACTGTCCTCATATAGGACTCGGAGGTCATCCCTGATTTTTGCTGCTTCAGCATAGTTTTCTTGCTCAATGGCAATCTGTAGGTCCCTCTGCAAGGTCTGTTCACCTGATATGATGCTTTCAGCACTTAGATTACCCTCAATGTCATCACGTTTGGCTTGAAAAGGCATCGACGGTAGTATATGCAGATTTGGTCTGAAGGGTGCTGCACTAAATTTAATCAGCGGTTAGAACTGTGTGGAACTCAAATCTCAACAAGGAAATTATATTGGTCATATGTGAAGAAACCTAAAGAAAGGTAATATTCATCCAACAAAATAAATATTGAAAAACTCAACAGGGCAATCTATTCGAAGGAAAAGGTCAGCCAACTTGACAAATACTTTATGAAAAAAACTCAGAGAAATCAGACGAAAATGTATTGTTTAGTTGACCTGGTACATATGAATTTATACACATATAGATATATATGCAGATAATTTCCAAATCCAAGAAACTTACGAGGTCTTCCATTTGGCAACTTGGAGACACACTGACCCGGAAAAAACTGGATCTTGTTTCCTCTGTAAGCCTTAGCTAAAACCACAAAACATGGCTTTGGAATCGGAAGTGGTGACAAAAGGAAACGACGACTCTTAAAACAATTAGAGCTTGAACATAGCATGCAATTAACATTTACCTACAACGACAAAAATATGATAATTGAATTACAAATATCTCTGAAAATAAACAAAATTTCACCAAATTATCTCGAACATGAATAGGTATAGGTATAGAGCGAAAAGTAAGCTCGGAACTGTATCTATAGGATTCAAATCCAATAATTTGAAAGGAATAATTAGCTAGATTTAAAAAAATAAAAATAACCCAGTTGTTCAAATTCAAGTACTCAACAGCGTTACTCAACAGAAACTACAGCATTAGCAACAAAGATATATAGAAGCAGGAGAAAATTGAACTTACGTTGTAGCAAAAGCTAGATCCTTGGATTGCCATGAAAGTGAAACCCAAGGTTACTTAGAAAGATATTACAACAGAAGGGGGGTTTGAAGGTGAATAAGAGAAAAAGGGTTTTCTCAATCTTGAATAAGATAACGACAGTCGGGAGGAAGCAGAAACTGGAAGATTTCATGGAAAAATGAGTTATGGGCTTTGAACATAAGTTCATGCATGAGCAGCCCTGAGTTTTGGGTTCACTCATTTGAAGCCTAATCCTACTGTATTTCATTTTAGGGGAAATATTTTGTTTTCTTCTCTTATTTATTTGTAATTTTTAATTTAAAAATTTTTAATATGACACTTTTTATTATGTTACATGATTTTAGTTGTATAACTTGATATTAACAGAAACATATTAACAGTCAAAATGATAAAAAAATCTTTTTCTCTTTTCTTGGCTATTGTTAGTCTTTGTTTTTTTTATTAATAATGGCACTAATTTTGGTATTAATCATCGAATAGCGATATTCATTATTTTACTTTTATTTTATTATGGTGTATCTTTATTTTTTTCATTTTAATAATATTGTCTTTATGACATGCTTTCTAGATGTCTTTATGGCATATTTTTAGTGGTTTGGTCATTGTTTTCGTTTATCTTTTTTTTAATGTTAGATTTGACATCACCATGGCTGATCAAGATGTTCCTTATTTGTTATTATATTGATCTTCTCTGTTATATACTCTCATATTGGATTTAGATATGTGATATACGTTCGTGGATAATTTTTTCACGTCGCTCGACTTTAATTTGCGATTTGACAGTGGTATTTCAATAGTTTGATCCCCTTTTATGGTTCATTTGTTGATGCGGTCAGATTTATTCGTATCTACCTTTTGTTCGAGTTTATTTGGTAATGTTTTTAACATTTTCCTTGTATGATCATTTTATGATCTTAAGTGAGTAGTTTTCTTATATTAACGATAGGAAAATGTCTTTATTATATGTTTAATTTACGGTTATGATTCTAAACTTTCATTGTAATTTGAATAGCTTTTATTTTTAATAAAACTAGTTGTTTCTATTCAAAAAATTAAAAAAAACATTGAAAAATAAAATTAAAAATTAAAAAATAGACAATATATATATATATATTAAATTTTTAATTTTTAAAAATGATCAAATTACTTGTAACCTTTAATCTCTAAATTAAAATTAATTTTGTTTAAAAATAATTAGGGTTCGTTTGGTTCTATAAAATATAGGTTATTTCACTTTCTTAGAAAAAAGAAAACGTTGAAGAAAATATGTTTGGTTGTAAAATTAAAAAATGATTTCTGAAAAATGATAACAACAATAAGTGAAAATATGAAAATATAGAAAAGATGTTTTCAATGTTTTCCTTAAAATTGTTTTGGAAATTTAGAAAATATGTGATCTAGATTTCTAACTTAACTTACATAAGTTCAAAGTTTTCTAACAATTTTTTTACTTAATAGTATCTGAAGCCCTCAAACTTTTGTAAAAAAATCATTATGGTTCATTATTATTTTTTACACTTAATGTAGTCTTTAAACTGATTTTTTTAATAATTTATATATTTAAAGTAATGAAAATATTAATAATCGTTTATATTATATTTTAAAGTTAAACAATTTCTTAATTTTTCTAAAATATTAAATAAGTCTTCAAACTTTCTAAAAAATTGATTATGCTCTTGAACTTAGTCAAAAAAAACAATTAAGCTCATTTATCACATAATCGTACACCGCGTACTACCATAACAATATCGTGAAATATAACATCAATATTGCATATTTTCATGTAAGTTTTGTGAATTGTTATATAAGTGGTGTGACAGTCAACAATTGATTACGTTGGTTAAAATATTATATTTATTTTTTCTCTACTTAAGAGGCACATTGAGTGCAAAAAAATGTTTAGGGACTATACTTGTTTTTCCCAAAAGTTCAAGGACCTCAAATATCATTAAACATATTTTTTTATTTTAATGACCACTAAACATTATATTCTTATTATAAACTAAAATAATTTTTGTATTATGGAGTTTATCTATTGTTTTTTATCTGTATAACTCATATATTAAATTTATGTAATGTTTTTTTAATAATTGTATTTTAATTAATTTATTTAATAAACTATTTATTCATTTATGTTTGCTATTTTTTTTATTTTTTATTCAAGTTTTCATTTATATTAACCAAACATGTTTTTACTTTTTTTAAAAAAAATTGAAAACAAAAACCATTTTCTGAAAATAAAAACATAAAATATTTTTTAGAACCAAACGACCCTTACATTTACAATCTACTCAATATTATAGTAAATTAATAATGGCGTTAATCAAATTAACAATAAATTTAAATTAGCTATCTTATTTTAAAATTTGATGGAATGTTGTGGTTCAAATTCAAGTTATAGCCACCCTAAGCTAAAATAAGGGAATTCATTAAAAATAGAGTTACATGCTTAAAAAATACATGTTTAAAATCTATATTTAAACATTTGAAAAAAAAAAGTATATCTAACCATAAAAATTTTGAGAATTTCATAGCTGAGCAGTTGACATTGAATTGTTTAGATAAATCTTTAACTTGATTAGGCTCATGTTAATACGATAGTAGAGGATAATTTTAAATACTGAGATCTCAAATATTTGATAAGACAACAACAAACATAATCATGACATGGTTTAATCAAGTTAAAGATCACATATCTTCAACATCTCTAATTCAGCAACTCATATTACGAGATTCTCATATCTCATATTATTTAGATATTATATTTTATGTGTTTAAATGTAATCTTTTAAACATGTTCTCATTAAGTAATTGAAGATAATATTTATATATATTACTATCGTTATTTGATTTAACTTGCTCCGTGTTGGTGTAAATAGGGATGGGCATGGGTTGGGTCAAGTTTTTGGTCCACCGGACCTGACTTGAGAATAAGGAGTCCTCCATCCGAGACCCGATCTAACCAAAACAAGTTTTCATTCGATCGAACCCGACCCGACATGAACATAACATTTAAAAAAAACCCGACCCGATCGGGTCGAGTCGAGTCGAGTCAGGTCTCATGCCATCCCTAGGTGTAAATATGTGTTTTTAACATGTATCACATGTTTTCTATTAGAAAAAATTCTTATAATTTTTCCCTATATTATGTCATGGTTTTGTACGTAAACAAATATGCTTTTTGTAACATCCGTATTTTAAAAGTATATATGATGTAGAATGTTTTTATTTTATGTCATAAAAATGTAAATCTAAAAACTTAAAAAAATGTTATTTTGGATATTAATTATTTTAAGATGATATTTGAGTAAAAGAAGCCAAGAGGGGGATGAGGACAATGGTGTTAGGTAACTGAAAGGTGCCGTTGATGGATTTGGTAATTGGGTACCACACAAGTCAGCCCATGATAGGGTCCCGCTTACCCTAATCATGATGCCAGGCAGCAGCCTTTTCTAATTTTCGAAATGCTTTGCAACCCTAGTTCATGTCAAATTCTAAAGAGAAAATAATCTCAGTGACTAAAAATGCCTTATAATATACGATTTTAACTAATATTTTTTGGATTTGCCAAAATGACCAACAAAATCGCAATGCGAAATAAAAATCGCAACGCGATCTCCAGAATCGCAAATCAGTTCCCAGAATCGCAACGCGATTATGAATAATCGCAATGCGATAGTACAAATTCGCATTGTGATTTTCCATAATCGCAACGCGAATATGAAAATCATAACGCGAACATATAAATCGCAACGCGATTCTGACTATCACAACGCGTATCCGTAAATCGCAACGACAATACGTAAAATCGCAACGCGTATCCGTAAATCGCAACGAGAATACGTAAATCGCAACGAGAATACGTAAATCGCAATACGTATCTGTAAATCGCAATGCGAATACGTAAATCGCAATGCGAATACGTAAATCACAATGCGAATCTGTAAATCGCAACGAGATTCTGACTATCGCAATACTGAATTTCAAATTCGCAACTCGATTTCTGAATTCGCAACAGGTTTTAATTTCGCAACACAAATGTTTTGGGTATATAACTACGCAGCAGCATCAACTCATAACCTAAATCCCTAAATCGCAACTCATTCCATCTCCATCTATCACTCTCTCCGGCGACATCTGTTCCTATATCCAACGACATCCTTCCCCATCCGGCAACAAGTTTTAGTTTCGCAGCTCGTTTGTTTAGTAAATTAATTTACAATAATGAAATCATCTAATGTTGATCATGTTTGGATAGATTTGTGTTTTGGAGGGTCATGGGAGAATGTTCATGGTGTTTTACAATATATGCATTTACCCATGAATCTTCAACTAAAACTGTCATTAAAAAAGTTAACTTATGAAACTCTAATGTTACGTGTTGCAAATAAATTGAATTTAGAGCCCCTAAGTGGATTTAGGCTATCTTATCAGAGAAATTGTAAAGTTTATTTGTTAACCGACAATGAAGATGTTGAACGATTCATTGCTTGCATTAGTGTTTCAAGTGATGATGCTACATTGTATGTTGTTGAACCTAGAAGTAGTGAAGTTGGGTCAGTAGCGGGTAGTAATCAACTAAGACTTTCAACCCCAGTTTATAGTGCTCAAAATTTAATGGTTCTACCACAATTTCATCACCAAGCAAATATTGCTTCACCACATTTCCAATATCAAACACAATCTCAAAACCCACAACCTTTCCCTAATCCAAATCCCAATAAACTTTCAGCACCAAATTTCGGTTTTCGTATTGACCAGTTAGACGATGATGAGCCAACAGAAAAAATTGTGAGTACTAGTCAGTATTCAAAATTTGATCTTGGTCAATACCTGGACTTTGATCTTGGTCAATACTCGGATTTTGATGATTTTTCAAAAGAAGAAACAGACCCTGCGTGTAATGATTTTGATATTGGTAAATACCCAAATTTTGATGATGAAACAGCCGTTGCCGAGGAAGATGTTGTTGATGATAATGAGGAGGAAGTTACGACTGTAAATGAACATGTTGAACATCCATTCTGTAATTCATATAACACTGAAGAAGAAAAAGAAGAAGAAGAAATCCCCAAAGAAAAGTCCCCAAA